CTCCCTACTTTTTTCTTCTTTTTTTTAGTTTCCGATGGCTCTAGCTCAGAGACCACTGCGACGAATTGCACCAAAACTCGGCCAGGTGTAGCCCCAACCGAGGTCTATCCGCCACCAAAGTTTCATCGATCTAGTCCACTCAGGGGCAGAGCTAGAATTTTTTGAAGACGAAAAATGGCAAAAAATCGAAAAATCGAAATTTCGGGAAAACTAGACCTGATGGAGAAAAACTGTTATGAAATTCGGATTCAGCGCCCCCGGTTTACCCCGAAATAGCTATCACTTTCTTTGTAACGATTTGGCTGTCGAGCTGTGTTATTTGCTCGATCCGAATGCTTTCTCACCAGTCACGATCTTACTCGTTTTTTTAGCTTCCGAGATTCCGGGGAGGGTGTCGAGTTCCTTTCAGTGGAAGGGTCTACATATTGGTGCGATCTGGACCGCATTTCTGAAAACGGCATGAGCCTTGCGGCGGAGGTTCATCCGAGAATCTCGGATGTGACTAGCCCTATGCTTCGCTAAATATGGCCCGGCTCGATTGGAGGTCTAATTTTACTTCCAGAGCATCGCGGCACACCGTTCGTGACCGTCGGGGGCTTCGTAATGACTCGCTCCCGATATCCGACCTTGGGGCTGCCAGTAACGATGGGTTCGAAACACCTGACTGACCGGCTCGATGGACTCCGAGAGGTCCCTTCAATCGCTTCACGATTCCTTCCGGATTGATTGCCCTTGAATTTCAGCTTACATGCCAGTCTTCCCCTTCCTGCCACCACTCGGCTTCACCAGCTTGCAGTCTCCGGGAGGAAGATTCTGCTCATCCTTCCAAGATAAGGGTCGGTCGAGTTGTGAGCTTCAGCAGCTTCAAGCTGGCTTATGTCAGACAAATAGAATTATTGTCCCTGAATCCCACAGGTAGGGGTTGCCCCGGGTAGCTCACAGTGAGGTGAAGATGAATATCTAGTCGTATGGAGAGCTGTCCTCTCAGCGAAGTTTCTGCCAAGCCACGAAATTTCCATGGATCGGACCTTGCGGAAGACGACGTCTCCGCATAGCGAACTTAACATGTGAAGAATCTCCCGTACAACGAAGTTTATATGGGTACAGGGTTCGGGGGCTGTCACGTGCAGGTGCTCTTGTGAGTCGGAGGCTTCGTGATGCGAAAACTTTTTCGGAACGGGGTATTCATCTGTATTCCCGACCCGCTTCCTTTGTGCGCTCAACTTTCTTTCAGAGGAATCAGACCAATTGTAGTGATATTATAGCGTGAGGTTTCCGAGAGCCAAATTCCTGGACGCGGGGTGATATCTTTTCATCAGGATAGCTCACCAGCCCGACTATTCCCACTATGAGTTTGTTCTCCCTGATTTGTGAACAGAATTTTCGGAGGATCGGTCCAGGGCTGCAGAAAGAGAATCCAGATATTGAGGACCTCAAGATCCACTCCTATGCGCTGTTCGACCTTCGGAAGCTAGAAACGAAGCAGTTGGGATCCGGGTGTCCGTGTGCGTATATTTTCCCCGACACGGTAAACGTCGCCCCGGTCGGCCGCGCTTCTAAACTCGATTGCTGTCAGGAGGAGTCGGTCTCAGTGAATCAGAAGCAGGGACGGGTGTTTCGAGAAGTAATGGATAGATTGAACATCCTTGCGAGGACTTCACCGACGTGAGTCCCACTTATGAGTTTCGAATCGCTCGAGCATGAATCATTCGACGAATGGGAGGAATTCCGATATATAGAGTTAGAGATTTAGCGACACGGGTTCTACCTATAGTATACATAAGTGCGACGATTGAAGACAGCACTTAGCGAGAGAGCACTTCCACGAACCGAGGGCGGATTGCTCACTGAAGCATCGGAGTTCATGTGGCCGAAATCCTAATTAATTGAGGTCTATCGAATCGATTAGCTCAGCGGGAGTCTGTTCTGCTTGCGGTGCGCTCCCTGGTCCCTCTTGTCGCCAGATCGTAGAAATGAGCACCCTGTGCTCATTAGAGACTCTTTCGAGCTCAATGAATCTCACGGTCGATGTTGTTGGAGATTCTGTCCCGGATCCCAGAAAATATAAATCGCAGCCTAGTCGCATCCGCAGCGAGGAGTCGAATCCCTTAGACCTTCCGATATATCCACGCAGCATCGATCGCAACCAGGATATTGCGTTTCGCTTCGCGAGGCTCACAGAGCAAGGAGTAATCGCTGAGTCAGGAGAGCAAGATCGAAACGAGAAATTCGTTCCATAGACTAAATGAGACCAGGTGATTCAGAGCCTACGATAGAACACCTAACACATTGAAGGAGTTCTGAAGTGGAGATTTCGCGGAACGGACCCTTCTTTCGCCTCGGAAAGCATAAACCCTCACTCCGGATAGCGTCTCCACAGACTCATGGAGTAATAACTTCCGCGAGTCGAATCCGCCGCAGGTCAGACGAACAGCCCGTATCGGGAAAAATCGAGGCATAAACTATCCAATACAGATTCCTCCTTCTATAGGAGTCTGACTTCGTAGTCGATTCAAAAGAACCAATCGCCCGTCGCATTTATCTCTCGTAACAAGCCGTAAATTCCCGTCACTTTGCGAGGGGACAGTCTCACGGTTCAGGAATGAGCCCCGGAGAACCAACTCGCGACATATTTCTCGGAGAGAGCTATCACATTGATTTCCCGAATTAATCTTATCAGGAGACTTCAGACCTTTGACTATGGAGTATTTTATGTGATAGGGCGGACCTGAGGCCCACGACGATTTTAAGGAGAGGGCAGTGTAAATGGAAAAGAGATCCCTTGGATAGATCCTGCTGGCTGCTCGCCGCCTTGTCAACGCAAGGAAGTAATTGTACGTAATGGTGGAGAAAATGGATGAGATAACGGCTCCCTTGGGCCTGACTGAGAGGTTAAAAGGCTCCCATTGGAGCGAAGGCAAGTCACAGCGTCTGCCACAGTGGACATCATGAGGATTCGACACCTGCTGGACGAAAATCATCCTGGCTCTAGGACAATCGCGAAAATCCCTAGGGGAATTCTAGGATTTGAAGGAAGCTCCTACGGAGTCCTCATGCTCTAAAGCTGTGTTCCCCAGGAGCTCTTCCCCGGTGACCCACATTCGGAGTACGGGAGCTGTCCATGGCCAACCAGCACACACAGAATATTGGAGGTAGCGGGCATCTCAGAGAAAGCAAAATGACGGCGACGAGAAAAAAGGTCTGAAAGCATCAGTCTATCCGCGAATCGTTGGCTAGGGTGAACCCCCTGTACAAATTCAGCTGTCGATGCATCTCGCTATGAGCCTTGAATCAATAATACGGAAGACTCCGGAAGTCCCGTAACCCCGTGAGAAATCGCTTCAACCTTCGATGAAGCACTTGCCCGCTCTTGGGAGATACTGCTCTAGAGCATTATAATAATCCCTATCGGACTCATGTCCTAATCGCGGAGTCGTGCGTCTGTCGGCCCAGCCGATTCTGCTTCTCTGCGGAGCGAACGGGCATTCGCGGTGAACGTCGATGACTACTAGGCTGTGATGCACAGTGAATTCCGCCCGAGTTACCCTTGTCGAGATAGTCGTCGGGAATCATTTTGATCCGAGTTACCCGGTAGTAGATCAGACATCATCGGAGGATCAGTAGGGAACGCCAGAAAAATTAGAATTCTCCTCCAGTTCCATGGAGTACCCTGCATAGAGTGCTCGACACTAAAGCTCTCTCGGAAAGTTTAATACGCGACTTTGCCGTCTAGCAGGGCCTCCGTTACATATCGCGCGTTCCAGAGAGACAGCACGTAAACGCCTCATCAGGTCACATGATTTGGCAGAAAATGTCACGGCTTCTGCATCCCTCCTCCCTATCCAGCGATTAGGTTGATTCCCGTCCCGGAGGCGGGAAAATATTGATGTTTACGGCTCCATGAAGAATCTGTATGGATAAAGACTCGAGGAGAGAAAAATAGCTCCGAGACGTAAATAACACACGAAGATCGCGAGAAGGTGCCCGACTCGCACGTCGTTAGGCGGCTCCCAGCTAACCTGGTTGACTGACAGAGCGGCGGACTGAACACCCGCTGCGCCAGCTCATCAGAATTCGCTCACATCGCATTGTTCACATTCTCAACGCGAGAAATTACGGACGCGGAAAATCAATCTGAACTTCTTGACTTGACGGCATATATGTAGGTGTTGGAGCGAGGCTCTGGGACGGAGAGCTCCTTCCGTCGCTCCTTGTTTTCTCTGTGCAAGCCCTCCGACCGGAACGCGGAGTACGGCGGAGGCGACGGGCGTCACAACTTTTCGCCTCAGTTCGTGTGATTTACCGTAGACACGGTCCGTGCTGTCAGAATCCCTGATGGCTTTGCAGACCTAGCGAACCGGTCCGGTAATGCGACCGCGTCGAGCATGCAGTAAGGGACGTTCGGCGATTCAGTTTGCCAGGGCCTCCCTCACATGTTCGGCACATGGCAATGGCGCGACGGGGCTGTTAAAACAACGGCGACATCGATGTCAGCGTCGATAACAGTGTCAATACGGCATCGTCGCCTCCAGGTACTATTCTTGGATTATTATTGCCCGCTCATCCTGAGCGACGTTTTTTTCGCCCGGCCGCGCATCCCCGCTCCGACTGCATAAGCATTGAACGGCATTGTTGTCAGCCAGACACGTATAGAACCACGCGGACTTAAGCTCTCCACGTGACTTCAGCGTATAGAATCGATCCACACTTCCTCTCTCCATCTCTCTCCCGAGCGCTCGCTCACGCCCTTCGTTCTGACCCACCCTCTGTCCATACGTCGATTTACAACGGAACAACAGTAGGGGACGAAATTCGTCAAGGTGGCGTTCGGTTCCCTGGATCATTATATTTTCCCTCTACCAATCTTTCGCACTTTGAGCAACTCCCTCAACAGTCCACTGGCTTGGAATCGCTCTTGAAAAATTCGGGAATCGAGCCACGGGGGAAGCATAAATATTTATTAGGAAGACTTCCTGTAGCATTTAGCGTCAATCGCTTCTCACTCGGAAAATTACATTCTGTCTCGACAGCTAGTGCTCCGATTGGGCTCGAAGCAATATCAACACAAGTGACGACGATTCATTCCGTCCGCCATTCCACAGCTGAGCTATGTTGTCCTATTTACAGCTCGGTATTTACTTTTGCTTGAATTCGCTCACGCTGGAGTTCCAGCTCGCCGGAATGCACTCTGAGAGGGAGCGGGAGTCCTCCTATGAAGTTATGTGTATGTGTGACGTCGATGTTCAGATCGTTCTTACGATTGCGTTATTGCTCGTCTCACAATCAGAATGTGGATTCTGGGAGAGTTGGGCGGTGTGCGTACGAGCGTCAATGAATTCTTCATGAAAAATCTCGGGCTTACGCGAAAGCAATGATCCCTGTATTGAAAAGGTATGCGGGGCATCCCTGTTATTTCATTCGCAAGTCATATCTCATTCCCCTGACCGTTGGACAACTGCGGAGTCGAGAGTCGATGCCCGAAACTCACTTCCGCGCTCACTGGGTGAAGTCGCCGAGGACTATGGGCGAGGCGGGCAATCATGGGCGATACATCGCAGCACCTTCATACCGAAAAAGGCTATTCTCGTGGATTCTCAGCTGATAGGAATCGCAATACCATCTCCTGCCTGAGGGAATCGGGGCTCCCTCATTCTTCGATTCTTGCTGGTCGACCTCATAAATCCAATTCTCGAACGCCAAGGGATTCTTGAATAGGTAATCTTCCTTGATTCCTAATGACATCTCTCTCCGAGATTGGAGGGGAGTGAGACTCCGGAGGTCCCACAGCGGGTGGAAAAACGCGGGGTTCGACGAAGGGCTTCTGACCGTGATAATGAGTCCGCATGCATTCGGAATCGTGAGAATCGCGACTCGGACGCTCTCTGCGGGTTTGAGCTTGCTCGTTATCTTATTATTTCCTGGCATTCTTATATTCATTATTTTTGTCTGGCTGAGAGGGAGGAAGATACGGCGTTCGCTCGTTTCCCCTCCCGCTTTTCGAGAAAGAGATTCTCTGTTTTCGGGAGAGATTCCCGAGGAGAGCCTCACTCACGGCAGCTGAGCTCTTCGTCTGTTCGGTGGATTCCGCCGACCCATGATAAACTCGAAGAGCTCAGCTTCCGACGACCTGACTGATTTGCGGCACTCTGTCTGCACGGATCGAGAAGAGAGCGAAATTCAGTGCGTTCACTTGTCTCGAAGTGAATTTTCCGGGCGAAGGTTCGGACTAGCTCGGGGTCAGACGCATCTAAGGGGACTCTCTGGATGATTCAGCGCCGATGAGTACAAGAAGTTCCAACGTTCAATTGAAGCTCGGCATGCGCCTTCGGCAAATCCGAGCTGAAAGCAGTAATCTCTCGCTATTAGCGCTGTCGCTCGCTACCATCCGATGGATAACCCCTTCATATGCTCGTTCCTTATTGCCTGAGATCAATCGATACTCGAGCGCCCCTACTGACACCATCACGCGACGAGTGAATACACGGGGCGCACCAGCCCTTCCCGAATTTTAAGTCTCCGCCGATTGTAGGTAATTGTCTGTGTGAATACTTCGCTTATCTCAGAAGTTCCCAGGAGTGTGCAGAGAAGTCGGTCTTTGAAAGTACGGACCTTAAATCAACACACGCCTGCTCCCGCTGAGTGACGCCGTTTCCGATGTCTGTGAAGTGGGATCCACTTCTGGGCGCTGCGAACGATAAGCAACCATTTGCCCGAGGATTCAACAACGAACGCCTCATTCCAGATAAGATCTGTGCCGGCGAATTACGACATGTGAGACGTTGGCGTGACTTTCCTTCCCGCAGTCCGATAGGTGCACGGCTGCGGCGGTTCAATTCTTTCGCTGAGCGACCTCGGTGGGACCGCCCTCGACTCCGAAGTGGCGAAGTCTCTCACAGGAGAGGTCGAGTCTCTGCCTCAACCGAGAATGTTCGGAATGTGCCTCGGTCGAAGTTTCCCGAAGAGTTCGGGTCCGTTCCTCAGCCGCCAGCTTGGAGGAGCTCAGTCTCTGGCGGACAAGGCAGCATCATTAGGCACGGATTAAACGTTCTACACGGTTTTCTCTCAGCAGATCCTCACGATGGCGATCGAGCAAGAGCTCGTGGAGGAGAGAGCAAATGAATTGGCCCCATCTATCCAGAGGATCCGAGAAGTCATTCGGGATCCGAGAGAGAAAATTCCGCAATATGTGTATACGCTTGGAATTTCAGTCAGCTTCCGCTTCAATCCTGCGCTGAACTCGGAAGTTTACTGTCCGCTCCATTGCCTTGAATGGCTAACACAACAAGTGTTATTCGAGAGAGTTGCTCCGTGAGCTCATAATCAGTTAATCCTTCCAAAGCCCCCGCAGATTCGTACGTTTCGCCGCCCTTTTCCCTGACCCAAAATCATCAAGTTGAGATGAATGTCACTGTGAGTAATTTCGGATTCCAGTAAATCGTTGGCGATCGCTTCTCCGATATCGCTCTGCCTCCAAATCGATCCACGAATTATTATAGCCTCCAATCCTCAGGTCTATCTCGTCGATATCGTCCAGGATCAGACAGTGACGATTGCTCGAGTCCAAAAATCTAATACAGTAAGTTTCGCCGATATTTCGCTGCTTCTGGGAGCATTTCGAAGTATTCCGAGAAGCGGCAGAAATTCCCGACCTGGCTCCATGGCGGAGGTTATTCATTTCGCATGGGTCGGATGTTGTCAGACAAAAATGAGATCAAGCTGAACAAATACCGGAACGTTCCGACCTTCCCGTGATGTGAGCTCAGCATGGTCGACACAGAGGGATCTCCACACCGACTCCGTGACATTCAAGCATGTGTCAACAGTTCAATGGCATTCTGGAAACTTTCGCTTCCGTCTGTATCTAGGATTCCATTCGCCATTCACCCGGTTCGGAGAGAACGGAACAACTACCGATCACAGCGCCCGTGAGAGACGACGTAATTAATGGTCGAGGAAAGCTCCGAGAAATTCTCGTCCTTTTCGACATAGTCCCTCCCGTCCCGCTGTTCGGTACTCCTGGAGCGACTGTAAGTACGACGCGCCATCGAATGCCTGCGTCACGATCAACATAGGATATTGGTATGATTTATTTCGGAGCTAATCCGATTTCTGAAGCCGTCTGAAGTACTAACATTCGTGGACATTATTCACCGAGCATTGGCCCATTCCAACTTCGTTTATTTAGCAATCTCATGCTCAAGAGACCTCTTCGCTCTGCTCGACTTCAACTCCAGGGACGTGAAATACGGCGACCGTAACGAGCACGGCATCCTCACTCAATTATGAAAGGATGCCGACACATTTTGTATCCGATGAAAAATCGCGCGCTAAACGCTTATCGCCCGGGCATTTCTAGACGATGCTGTGACTCATCTCAGGTGACTTACCTTCGGACCCGCACGAAATGTTTTGAGGATTCCCACCAATGAGTGCCGATTTCAAGACGCAGAAAAACGTTCTGCGAACCGTGATCAACAAATGCACTCTGACTAGAGTAATCCTTGGTATTCTGCGAATACTGCAGTTGCACTCTATGCTCCCTGCAGCCACTGCGCTGTTTGTGCAGCTGTCTGTGATTTGAGTTTGAGTAATCCTGGGTTGCAGAGGAGCTCAAGAAGTCAGTCAAAAAAGACTCCACCGTCAGTGATTCACTTGATTTCGTCGGCAGAGCGAACCGATGGACCAGAAAATAACAGAAAGCCCGAAGAATTATTTGACGTCCACGTCGGGAAGCGACGGCAGCTATGGCAGCCCCGGTAGGATCGTCGGTGGCAGCCACAGCCGCACTGGCAGCAGCAACAACGATAATCTCTGTCTGAGTTGTGAGAGTTTCTCCGAGCTCACATATTCTGAAAGCGCTACGCTCGCAGCCGTTCGACGCCGACGGAGAGGATAACGTCGTCGGAGAACTGCGCGCCTTCGTTCTGTGCGGGAGTCGCGAAGCGTATCCGAGCGTTTGAAAATACGTATTTCGTGAAGATGGCCTTTGTCGAGCGACAAGGAACGCTCTTTGTGGTTTACGGGTGGCTCGAGTCAGGAGCTTTTCAACAAAGATTCAATTTTGTCTCCATTTTTCAGTCGGTACCTCTTCATGAGTCGGAAAGGTGTGAAGACTTCCCTGCCCGTTGAATGCCAAGTTGTACATTCCGCTCCCAGACCACGATGGTGGGAGATTCACCTGCAGAATTGATGATGATGCTTGCGATCCTTGCGGTTGTGGCACTCGCACTGGCGGCGCGGCGGCAGTAATGATGATGGCCATAGACCTTCGGTTGCTGACAACGAGGGCACTTGTCAGGAGAAACGTCAACGATCTGATTCGGAGTGGGAGCTTCGGAGAAACAGAAAACGATGGAGAAAAGACAAAGAAAAGTCAGAACTTAAATCTGCAGAGTCTGGGAATCTAACAGAAAGTGATTCCAAGGACCTGAAAACGACGACGAAAATTTTACCTGAAGTCGTAAATATGAGAATTATCATCGCGACTCCGACTGGGTGGGAGGCGAGCCGCCAGTTGGACCTAATACGAGGAAAATCAGATGCTCGGGCTGCGGAATCGATATCTGAGTTAGCCCTGCACGTGGTCGGCTGATGATCCGTAGCTTCTGTTTACGGACCAGAAAAACAGTACCGTGACGTGACGCTCGACCGAGCCCCAGTGGATTGGATTTCGATCGTCGAGGAGAAGACTGAGCGTGAACAACTCATTCCAACAGGTGGCAGAACCGACTTAGAAGAGAGATTTCGTCTCTCTCTTTTTTCGTTCCATATTCCATATCTCCATGTCACATTCAAGCGAAGTCTCTCTGAAACGTGGGTACTACTCTGTCGTGGCGAGGGCTCCCTGGTGGTGGAGCCCGGGAATATTCCCCGGTGAGCGAGGGGAAATTAGGCAAACAAGCGAATCAGACTTACAAGGTCACCCGATGCTTCGTCAGAGGGTTCCGGAGGAGCGCGACTCAGCGCTTGAGAATGCCCAGAAAGAACGAAATCGGTTCTTGTCGGTTTTCCCCAAAAGTGGTCTGAAGAGCGCAATGGATCGATAGTCCGTTGAAGACCGATCCAGATGAGCAGCGACTGACCTCGACGATTCGGTAGCCCCATGATTTCACCTTGATCCGAGAGTTCGGAGCATCGATCGTTCGAGATGGGAACTCACGATAAGGACCCCGTGTGATCAGATCCATGCTACGACTAACTTGCCAACGGCTATTGAAGCGAAGAGCACTGCTCTTCCCGTCCGAATGTCTCGGAGCAGGCCTTCGAAGGATCTGTTCTGAATCGGAAGAAGCCATTGGACGAACCCATGCCGGAACTCTCTGTGCTCGTTATAAATATTTACTCGGTGTGTCTGAATTACAAACTTGGGGTTCGTTGAGTCCCACTTGCAACTGCGGAATTTACGACTCTATTCAAGGGGATCAGACATCGTCTAAGACCGTGGTAGGATTTCCGCACCGAGCACATGTCCCTCAACGCAGGACTCCGGAAATTGATGGCATCCTGTGGAAACATCTCTCGTTTTCCTTTCTGCGGAATTCTGGGGAAAACAGGCTCGCTCCCGAGAGTCGAATTGAGGAGCCTGACGCATCTGAGGAAAAACTGAAGGCGCGTTTTTCCGTCCTCCATTGTGTGCGCGGTTCGACGAGCGTACGCTCTTCTCATGCTGCGCCTCGAGACGATTTCGGCGCGTCAGCACAATACGACTACGGTGACGGAACAGGCCGCTGGCATCACCGTCACGACCACTGCCGAAAAGAGACTGCGCGCAAAGATGGATGATGACAAAAGCGGAGGAGCGGGGAAAAACAGTAGAGGGCACCCCGGAACCGATTGGGACTCGTGATCGTTCTGAGGAACCGCAAAAATATCCCAAAAGCATAGCACTGATCGTGCGAAGCGGCGCCGTCAGTGAGGTTGCGGAGCGAGTCAGAACCTCGAGTTCGAGGCGACCGCATTCGACTCACGTCCTCCCGTTCCCTGGCGTTCCCCTCGCGATTCTCAGCTGTTTCTCGTCACTCTCCTTGGATGAATTCCTGTGCTGCATCACCATCTGGAGTCTGCTCTCGCTGCAGTAGATCGAAAAAGAGTTTTGGGGAAGAAGATAGATTATTCGAGGACAAAAACAGAAGGAATCAGGCTCAGGCTCGTTGAAAAACTTGCTCGAGCGAGAAATGGGAGCTTTTCCTCGATCGCAGAGATACCTCTCGATGCCAACTGCGGATCAGCTGACGAATACTACGCAGATAAACTCCGACCGGTGCTTGCAGACACATTCAATTCGGAATTCCCCCCGCTTCGTCGAAAGCTGAAAATTCGCTCGGAATGGCGGAACGCTAGCGTAGGACCGAGTACGGGGGTATGTAATCGTGTCAGAATGAGTTCGATCGATGAATCCTGATCTGGTCATCTTCCGCTGAATTATTATCTTTCAGAGTGGGGAGCAATTCTCCTTCCAGAAAGAAGCCATGTGATGACTTGATGACTCGCGAAGAATTTCGTTCCGCTTCGTCGTACGAATCGTCTCAGTAGGATCACTTCACGACGACGTGAGGGATCGAGGTCTCCGTCTCTCCTAGCATCTCGCTTTTCTCTTCGTTCGTTGGAGACGTCGCGACGATCCATCTTGGATTGTGACCACTCAAGCGAGGGAAGTTCCCCGAAAAATACGTCACAAACAGATAGCAAACGGTTCCTTCCGAGGCTTTCGGCTCTATTTCCGGCAGGCGCGTGGCCTCATCGGGCCTGGAAGCGTATGCGCGGGATTCGCCTCTT